TTTCTTATAAATATGTCCTACTTGTTAGGGGGGGGCATAAACAGGGACATTTTTTAAGAGCAATTCTTTTGGGGGGGGGTGGGGGGGGGGTTGGCAAAGTTATAGTAAAATGTGGTAAATTTTTTTGTGTGTGTTTAAACGGCACACAGGAAAAATAGGAGAGTAATTTTTTCGGAGTTAACATTATTTTCATCTGAAAGTGTCATTTTTATACATTATAGAGTGAAATCATTTCAATTGGTCAATAGAATCGGAACAAAAAAATAAAGTAAATCATAACAGAGTAAAACAAGAACACGCCCACTGAAGTTCCTTAAGTTTCGTTTCTTCCACCATCTTGTTATCCCGCATTGGAACGGAGGCGACGGTTAGCTGTGTGCCAGGTAAGTCCCCAAATGAGTTGTAGATATATTTTACGTGGGGTTTTATGATTTATTTTTATTATTAAGACTATTAATCTCTAGTGGAAAGATGACGTGCTGCTGTGTGTTCGTGGGGGAAGGAGGGGTGCAGCGAGGAATTAACATGGTTGGCTAACTAGTTAGCATGTGTGCTTCAGCTAACTTAATTTAGCCGTTTACAACAATGTAAGCAGAAAAAAACATCAATGTTGTACAATCTACGTCCATTTTTTTAATTTTCACAAGTCAAGGCTGTCGCTATTTTTAAGCTGAGGAACGGAGTTTAAAAGAGGAGCTAGCTGTACAGTCGAAGCTGGCTCTTCTAGCATGTGGAGCCAGGGTTCCGCCCAGAAAATGGCGCGGGAGGACTATGCTAGTAACGTTTCTTGAACGTAGAGCAGCGATAAAAAAAAAAAACAGAATTAAAGTCGTGCTTTGTATGTAAACTATGTAAGTTGTCAGTAAAACATTTTTGACTGACTTTTTTGTTCATAAACCCCGTTTCCATCGAGTTGTATGGAGCTGATATGTTTTTTCCCGTCTTAGCTGTGGTGATTGGCTAAATTCAAGTAAAGAGCCTAGCCCATTAAGGATAGTTGTTAGCCACCTTCATGATGGTTTCAATCTTTTATCTTAATTTTTTATTCATGTTTACATAATGCAGGATGCAAGCTGTGCGTATCAAATACAGAGATCGACAGAAATACATCTGTTTTGAAGGCCAACTGACTTACAGTTCTTTTTTGGAATGTGGTGAGTGCAAACAAAACAAGTTTACAGCATTTTCACATATTAGGTTTATCAAAAACGTTTTGGGAATGGTGCCAAAATAGATGCTTTACCAACTTTTCAGATTTATTTATTTTTACTTTTTTATTTAACTTTACTTTTTATGTCTTATTTTAATTGTTATTTGCATATGTTCAAATATAGAATAAATAAATAATTTGCTATGTTCACAGCTGCAAAAAAGTTCAGCATCCCAACCTTGGACTTAAAAGTCTTTGATGACTCGAAGACTGAAGTGGATGAGGAGGTTTTTGAGCTCCTTTTGAAAAGTCCAAACCTTGGTGTGCTGGAAATTTGTGAAGCACAAGATCTCAATCCAGAAGGTAAGTTGTTTTGAAGTGTCATGTGCTTATTTTTGTGAACTATTTTTGGTCATC